TGAATTAAAGGTGTGGATTCTTAAGTCTCTGCTCCCCCGGGCCACGGAGGGCTTGCAAGGGGCTCCTAACTGAGGCCCAGGGTCAAGGGCACCCCCTCCCCCGCCGCCTGCCGCACCTGCTGGGGAAAGAAAGGATGCCAGCAGTTCCCTCCCTGGTCATGGATCCTATTGTGTCTTGCTGAAATATAAAACACTAGAAGACTGAGCATATAAGCATATTTGTAAAATTAATTTCACTTGTTGCTTCGTTTTTCTAAGTGGCTACTAGAAAACAATCGGCAATGTATTCGGCTCCATTGTGTTTCGTTTGCACAGCCTGGTCTAGGGGTCCCTCGTACCTTTCTAGCCTATTTAACAACGACCACAAAACCCAAACAGAACTCTGGTCTCTGTGCAAGGAGCGGCTCGGAAGCCTTAGGAAAGGAGCCTGTGTGTGTGTGTGTAAGCACCGTAGAGAAAAAGCCTTTGAAAGGTAGGCAGGAGACCTGAGTTCCAATCCAGCCTCACACTCTTCAGGTCCTCAGGTCTACTTCCTGCTTTTCTCCCTTCCCAGTGTTTCTGGTAACTCCAGGAAATCATGAGTGTGCACTATGAGTTCATGACCTTTAACTTGACTTTTTAAATGTTAATAAGGGGCCTGGTCTAGAGAGTTGTGGTTAGGGTCCCAGGCCGGCCTAGGGGAAATGAGACACAATGCATTAGTGTTAATTGACTGGAACGGAGATGTGGCTCAAGTGGTTGAGAAAGTGCTGCCTAACAAGCACAAAACCCTATGTTCAAACCCCAGTACTGCCAAAAATAATAATAAAATAGCGCGCGCGCACACACACACGCCAAAGAACTGGGAGTGATGGTGCATGATTCTAGTCCCAGTGCTTTTGAGGCAAATGCAGGAAGATTATTAGTTCAAAGCCAGCCTATGCCATAGAGACCTTGCCTCAAAACAAACAAAAAAATCAACTGAAAAATAGTAGTGCTAGCTACTATTCAGGAAACATCCATCCAGATAATAGTTTGAAGCCAGCTGGAGCAGCAAAGTATCCAGTTAGCCAGTAAAATGCCAGATTGGAGGCATGGCTTAAGTGGTAGAGTGCCAGCCATGAGCAAGAAAACCCATAGTTCACACCCAGGTATCAGGGCAAAACCAAAACAAATTAATATTCACATTGTATGTGTTATGCCAAAAAAAAAAAGTGTTGGTGATTTCCTTTAAAAAAAAATACTGGGATTTGAATTCAGGCCTTAGCTACTTTCTACTCAGATGGTGCTAACCATTTGAACTATGTTCTCAACCTGTTAGTGTCTTTTCTGATGTATTGGATTTTGCTGCCACTGTTAGTTCATTTGGGGATGACCTTTGCAGAAAGCTTATTCTGTCACTCCAGGTAGAATGAAGGTCACTGACAGCTGGCTCTTTCAAATGCAAAGGTGCTAAGCCCACAGACAGGAGAGGACCCTAGCACTGCCTTGCTTTTTCCTTCCTTCCTTCCTTCCTTCCTTCCTTCCTTCCTTCCTTCCTTCCTTCCTTCCTTCCTTCCTTTTTTGTTTTGTGCCTGTACTGTGTGGCTTGAACTCAGGGTCTGGACACTCCTTTAGCTCTTCACTCAAGGCTGGCACTCTACCACTTGAGCCACAGCTCCACTTCTGGCTTTTTGATGGATTAGTTGGAGATAAAAGAATCTCACAGACTTTCCTACCTGGGCTGGCTTTACACTGGGATCCTCAGATCTCAGCTAGGATGGATTACAGACATGAGCTAGGAGTGCCTGGCTTGGAAGAACCTTTTTTATCCGTCCGACAGTTTCTTTGTTCCACACTGATTACATAATTAACTACAAAATTCAACCTAAAAAACAGTGATAGATTTATTTTTAGTTTTTGACAGTCTGGGGCTTGAACTCAGGGCCTGGACACTGACCCTGAGCTTCTTTTGCTCAAGGCTAGCACTCTATCACTTGAGCCACAGCACCACTTGTGACTTTATCTGTTTGTGTGGTACTGAGGAATGGAACCCAGGGCTTCGTGCATGCTAGGCAAGCACTCTACCACTAAACTACATTCCTAGCCCAAGATCTAACTTTAAAAAAACAAAGCTTTGCTTAAAAAAAAAGTTTGTAAATAACTGGAGGGAATATAGCAGGTTTTATGTCTGAGGAGCCTGGGGGATATTTTCTAAGGCTTTGGTTTAAGGACCTAGAGTCCTGCCTTGAGTAGCTCTAAATTCCCAGGAACTTAAAATCCTCTGGGACTTGGTATCAAATGATCAAATTACACAGTATCCACTGGAGCTTGCAATGCTGACATTTCCCCTGTCAGCCGGGGAGCTTTGATAGACAGGGTCTCCCTGGCCAGGTCATTGCTGTGCCCCTAGTGCCTAGCATGGTAATAAGTAAAGCCCGGTTTTGCTCCTCCTTGCCTGTCCTGTCCTGCTTCCCTTCAAAAACCAGCTCTACACATTGGGAAAGGTCTAGAGAGTTTGATGTTAGAGCATTTGCCCAACATGATCAATGTATTGAGTTCAACCTCTAGCAACAACAACAAAATCAGCAACCTGGAGGGTTGGTCCCCGGTCCCAGCTTATGAGTTGTATGTGAATTATCTCTGTTCCACAATTCTCTCATTTGTTGAAAGGATAAAAATGACCTGTCCTACAGGATGTGGTGGTGCATGCCTGTAATCCCAGCACTTAGGAGGCTGAGACAGAAGAATCCAGAAGTCCAACAGTAGTCCAGAATCCCATGGTCCTGTCTTGAGAGAAAGAGGAGAGAGAGTAGGAGGGGGGGGTTAATGGGCACCAGTCCTATAATCCTAGCTACTATTCAAGAGGCTGAGATTGAGGATCATGGTTTAAGAAGCCAACCAAGGCAAGAAAGTCTCTGAGCCTCTTATCTCCAATTAACCTCAAAACAGTGGGAAGTACATCTGTGGCTCAAATGGTAGAGTGCTAGCCTTGAGCACAAAAGCTTAGGAACAGTGCCCAGGCCCAGAGTTCAAGTCCCAGGACTAGGGAGGAGCAGGGAGAGAGAGAAAGAATGAGGGGGGGGGGGATGGGCTAAAGTTCCCTGTGACTCACAGATTTGTTGTAATGATAAAGAACTCTTACATAATTTAAAATATGCAACAGCACTCTTCTAAAATACTTGCTCAAGTTTGAATGATTATTATACACCTTGTACTCATTTTAGCCAAATGACAGGAAGATCGCTGGAGTCTTGGTCTGACCGCAGCTTCTGTGCTAGGGTCCTGTCTTGGACATCACCAGCTCACTGGTCGGTCAATGGCACAGCTCTTCATGCACCCACTCAGCCTGTTCTAATCAGGTAATAACCAGTGTGTTCCCCCCCGCCCCCGCCCATCAGCTCTCCTCATACTCTTTGAGCCCCCAGTCATATCTGCATCCCACAGCCTCCCTGCAGACATGAAGCTCCATAGCTCTTCCCCTGGGGAGGTCTTGGTTCACCAAACCGCCACCTCTTTCCCTTGGTTTCTACCTGATCTCTGCTCTTGCTGGTTTTCCTGTGCCAATTTTCCTTTCCTGACTGATCCTTGATGGTCAGCTCAGGATACTCTCACACACTGGGGTTATATTGGGTGTTTGGCCTCGCCAGTGAACAAGGAGCACCCTGGGCCCCACGGAGATGAACTTGACCGCCAAGGTGAGCAGAGGCCTTGGAGAAGGGAAGAGGCCCCTGTTCTTTCCAGCCCCTAGACACAAGTTTCTGTTCCCACCCTGCTACCATCACAGAGCCCTTGAAGAGGCTGCAAGGAAGCCCAGCTCCCGCATCCATAACCAGTCCCTCTGCGTCCATCACCAGCCCCCTGTAGCCATGACACAATGAATTGGGAAAGGGTAGTAGATGCCATCTGTCTATCCCCTCCAACTCTTTTTCTAGAAACATTTTTGTGCAGCTACTGGGGCTTGAATTCAGGGTCTCATGCTTTTGATTAGTTTGCTCATAAAGAGATGGTAGTCAGGAGGTGAAAATCAGGAGGGTGAGAATTTAAGGGTGAGAATTTAAGGCTGTTCAGGAGGCTGAGATCTGAAGATCACAGTTTGAAACCAGCTGGGCAGGAAAGCCTGTGAGATTCTTATCTCCAATGTAACCATCAAAAAACCTCAAGTGGAGCTGTGACTCAAGCAGTAGAGTGCTAACCTTGGGCAAAAAAGTTCAAGGAGAGCATCGGGGCCCTAAATTCAAGCCCCAGGAGTAGAACAGGAAAAACGCAAACAAAAACATAATTATACCCATCTTAACCAATAATCCAGTGTGGTGTCTTACACCTGGCATCCAGCTATGTAGGATAATAAAACAAGAGGATCATGGTCCAAGCCGGGTGCCAGTGGCTCACGCCTGTAATCCTAGCTACTCAGGAGGCTGAGATCTGAGGATCGTGGTTCAAAGCCAGGCCAGGCAGGAAAGTCCATGAGACTCTTATGTCCAATATAAACCACTAGAAAACTGGAAGTGGCGCTGTGGCTCAAGTGGTAGAGCATTCATCTTGAGCTGAATAGTGTGGGGACAGCGCCCAGGCCCGGAGTTCAAGCCCCACGACAGACCAAAAAAAAAAAAAAAGAGGCTCATGGTCCAGGTTAGCCAGGTCAAAAAAAAAAATGCACCCTATATAAAAATAATGAAGGCAGGCTGGAAATGTGGCTTAGTGGTAGAGTGCTTACCTAGCGTGCATGAAGCCCTGGGTTTGATTGCTCACTACCACATAAACAGAAAAAGCCAGAAGTGGTGCTATGGCTTAAGTGGTATAGTGCTAGCCTTGAGCAAAGGGATAGTGCCTAGGCCCTGAGTTTAATCCCCAGCAGTAGCAATAATAATAATAATAATAAAGGCAAGAAGGGATAAGGGCATGATTCAACTGATAGAACATCTGTGTAGTAGGCTGGTGGCCCTGAGTTCAAATCCCAGTACTATCCCCACTCCACCCCACCCCACCCAAAAAAAAAAAAAAACCACTAAAAGAAAACCAAATTGTTTTAGGGACCCAATGCAACCTTTTAATTCCAAGCAGAGTCCTCTCAACATGATCTCACACACACAGTGGAAAGGGAATGCCAAGGTCTGGGCAGGAGCAAAACCCAGAGCTGGGCAAAAAATATATATATAATTATATAAACATACGTATGTGAAGAGGAGAGCTGGGAGTGAGTAGGTAGGGTAGGATTGGGCAAGGAAAGCTGCAGGGGGGGTGCCCCAATAAATTACATTCTGTAGACAGCTTAGATGGGGGGGTGCATGGGAAAAGGTGGAGCCCTGGGAGCTAGGCCTCTCAGAGATGTCCCAAGCCTGGCCTCTTCACCCCATCCAAGGGAGGCTCGTGGCTTGGGCTCTGTGGTCCCTGGGCAGGCGCTAGACGGAGGCATCCTAGCCGGCTTTGGCAGGAGGCTGGTGGTAGCTAGACATTGTATAGGCAGCATCTCCACTCTTAGCCAAGGCTTTTGGGGGAGCCCTGGAGGTAGAGCAAGGGTGGCATTGAAGCTTGGGGTCACAAGTAGAGGACAGGGCAAGCTGGAGGGAGGATGGCCTCCTAATGGAGGCCCAGCTGGAACCCGCCCCTGCCAGTCAGAGGAACAGGAAGCTCAGGTACAGGGGCTTCCGGAAAGGAGTGGAGGGGGTCCACGTGGCAGGGAGACACAGGGTCCCACAGCCGGTCCACCTGTGTACAGGACAGCTGACGGCCTGACCACAAGTGTCCCCTTCGTGCCCCTCACCCTCGTCACGTGGAGGAGTACAGGCAGGGAGAGGGGGCAGACATTAACTCGGTGTGTGCCGGAGTCCAGGCTGGGTTGAGTGAGGCCGTGGGGACCTGGGAGGAGCGGAGGAAGCCCCTGGCCATTGCGGGGTTCCAGGGGTCTTGGCTCCCCTTCTCCCTCAGCAGGGAGCTCTGCCCTACTTCTCACTGCTCCTACCGCCCACCGCTCCCAGCCCCCTGGGGAAGAGGATGCCCAGAGCCCCGAGCGACAGAGAGGGACTGTCACCAAGAGGGTGGCGGGGACAGTCAGAAGAGCGCGGCCTTCTTCTTGAGCTCGTTCCGCTTCCACAGGGCCAGCTTGCTGAACTCTTCTGGAGACATGGCGAAGACCCTGGAGAAGTCCTCGGCGGACAGGTGTCTCTGTGGGGCCGGGGTGGGGCGGGGGGTTAGAGGGGAGGACATAGGCAGGTGAGGCTTGAGGCTCATCTCTGATGGCACCAAGACCCAGGTCCTCCCGAAGCGGGCAGAGGGGAGCTCCAGGCAGAGCAGACAGAAAGAACCCCAAGCATAATCCTGTATTAGGCGGATGGAGCGCCTGTCCTGCATACCTCAAGCCTCATCCGATCCACCCCTGGGGGCAACTTGGTTCGTCCCTTGTTGGTCACCACCAGCATTTCATAGGGATAGATCTGGGGAGGAAGGGGGAGGGGCTCTGAGGCTCTTGAGAGTCTTCTGTCCATGCCAACCCTCCACTGCCCGAGCCCCCCCTCCCACGTCGACCTGCGGAGGAGCCATCGGGGTTCATGCCATTTCATTGCCATCCATTTCCCCAGCTTCTCCGTGATGCCACCCTCCCCACCTCACCGTCTCCAGGAGGACCCCTAGTAAATGAGCTCGCGCGGTCAGCTTGCCTGCCTCGGCCCCGCCCCCGCTGCCCGCCCCCACCGTGGCAGCCAGGTCCCCTGCCCTCACCTTCTGCTCCAGCACACAGGGCAGGGAGTTCCCCCGGTCCATCCTCCCCCTCTGGCCCTCTCCGTTCTGGGGAGACCAAAGCCGAAGTGAGCCAGAGCGGGGTGGGGGACCTTCCCAGTCTTACCCCGGCTTCTTGCGTCTTCACCACCAGGCAACTCTGTGGCCCCACACACACCCCTCCCCCTGTCCCCACACTGCCCCTGGCCTCCGATGATGCTCCTCCGCCTGCTCCCCTCCAGGGGGCACTCACCTGCAGGCCTGCAGAGAGAGAGCCATTGTTCAGAGGCAGCTCCCAGGGCCAAGGGGGACTCCACACATGCCCCCTCCCCCAACACACAGGCTGTCCAAGGAGCCCGTGGAAACAGGCCGCCAGGCTGCTCACCTGGGCTTCCTGCCTCACTCCCCGATGGGCTGAAGTCTGTGGACTGTAGCTAGGAAAGGCCATGAAGAGAGACGTTGGGATATTCTTAAGGGGTCCCTTTTGCCTCCCAGCACCCCCCAGATACTCAAGCACTTGGCCATTCGGAAGCTGGCCCCGGTCTCCTGGTCCTCTCAGGAGGCCTTACCCGGCTCAGGGTGGTCCTGCCATAGGAGGGAAGAGAAGATGACTTCGATGTTCCTGGGTGCAAAGCTGGAAGACAGCAAGAGGGCCTGGACTCAGTCCCTTGGCTAAGTCCTTCCCAAGAAGACTGGTTTTCCCACCCAGAACATGACAGGAAAGGGGAGAGACTGAAAGGAGCCTGCTGGGGGCTTCTGCAGTGTCTAGAATACTTTTCCTCCTCTCTCTAACTAGAATTGTACCAAGTAAGTACACAATTGGGCCAAAGGCCTGAGTACTAAAATCTACAGCTTGAGCTGAGATTCAATGTCGTGAAATGGTGATTAGATTGTCACTGTCACCTGTACAGTCACATGACAGTATAACGTATAACTCCAGGGGTGTCACAAGTGACACTGACATACACATGTGAAATTCTAAGGTAAAAATGGAAATCTTGGGGCTGGGAATGTGGCTCAGTGGTAGACTGCTAGCCTAGCAGGCATGAAGCCCTGGGTTTGATTCCTCAGTACCACATAACACAGAAAAGGCCTAAAGTGGTGCTGTGGCTCAAGTGGTAGAGCGCTAGCTTTGAGCAAAAGAAGCTCAAGGACAGTGCCCAGGCCCTGAGTTCAAAGCCACAGGACTGGCAAATAAATAATAGAAGTCGTAGAGCTCATTTGTGGATAAATAGAAGAGCTGGAAGAATCTCGTAGAACTCAGAGCTGAACCCATGCCTTAAGGCACAAATCTATCAACTTCATTCTCCAGGCCTCAATTATTGGCTGTGCATTCTCAAAAACTGCTTTTGCAACTCTTCTCGCCCACTCAGGACCTGCCAGTTGGGTCCTCTTGGTGTGGCTCAGCCACACAATCAAGCCAAGCAGCTTTTCTCTGCGGTCCATAGCAGACAACCCTTTCCAAGTACCACATCCTGGCCGGAACTGCTTTGCCTACTCAGGCCCACTACCACTACCTGGCTCTTTAGGCCTGTAGAGACCACCAGGTTCTTTATTTTGTTGTTTGTTGTTATTGTTCTGTTCTGTTTGGTTTTTGAAACAGCATCGGGTTATTAGCCCATGTTGATCTGGAATTCACTACTTGGCCCCAGGCTGGCCTCAAACTTGAGATCCTCTGCTTCAGTCCCCCCTCCCCCGACCCAGAATGCAGGGGTTACAGTCATACACCACCACGCCTAGTACAGACCTCTTGTTTCTTATCTCTGCATCATCCTCATTTTCTGTCAGCGCCTTCTCAGCTTCCACCCGTGGAGGGGTGCACGAACGACTTCACCAGCGCCTCCACTAGCCAGTCTGGCACTCAGTCCCTCAGCTCCTCCCTTACCAAACACGAATCCTCCATCAGCCCAAGTTCTCCCATCTAGCCCGAAGGATCTGGCAGAACTCAAGCCTTGTAGATTAACATCGCTACAAAGGTAAGGCCTTGTGCCACTTCCCATCAGTAACTAGTCTAAACGTCTACTAATTTTACCAAGCCATATCACGTTTTCTCAGTAGATAGCCATAGCTTCTAACCTGGCCTGTTCTTGATGGAGACCTTGAGCAGTAGAGAAGGCCCTTCAAGCTATCCACACACATTCAAAGGGTCCATCTCCTTCCACACACCAAGCCTTCCCACTCTACCAATCCTCCTGCTGCATCTTTACTAGAGGTGTTCTCCAGGGACACCTGGGTGCCCTGCCCTTCCTTCCTATATCCAGTCTCATTTTCCTCTCCACGTGACCATTATGTGTAAGCAGAGACTCCAGTGTCTAGCTCAGCCAAACTCAGCTCCCACTCGCATAACTTAGGTGGGACATTCAAACTCAACCTCTGCCCCTTTCCAGGGAAACTTGCCTTTTTTGTTATCTCAGTTCCAGGATGTCATTCTCCAGCACCCCAAAATCAAGTTGCAACATGTTTCACCCAAATCCCCACATCCAATCAGCCACTGGATTCAATCCAATGGATTTGATCAATCTCTTAGATATTTCTCAGCCCCATTTCCTTTTCTCTAGATCCATGGAAGTTGTTAGACATTATTACACAGTGCTATTGCTGGAATATTATTTTAGTCCCCCTAAGTTTACCACTGTTCAAATTTAACCCCATCATGAGGTATTAAGAAGATGGAAATGTAATCCAGGTGGTGAGGCCTTTGGAGGTGATCCAGATTAGGTAAGGTCATCATGGCAGCAGCCCCATGATTGAACCCTGGTGGCTTTACAAGACGATTGCAGGGGGCTCAAGGAGTTCATTGCTTGTCTAGCAAGTGCAGCCCTATTACCATTACCACCTCTACAAAAAGAAAAGAAAAAAGAGAGCACACAAATAGTGTTGTACCTTAAACTTCTAGAAAAACGGGAACAAGTTAAACTCAAAATTAACAATAGGAAGCAACAGTAAAGATCAGAGAAAAAAGTTAATGAAATGGAAACTTAAAACAAAAACTATACCAGGCCAGGCACTGGTAGCTCACGCCTGTAATCCTAGCTACTTGGGAGGCTGAGATCTGAGGATCGTGGTTCAAAGCCAGCCTGGGCAAGAAAGTCTGTGAGACTTATCTCCAATTAACCACCAGAAAACCAGAAGTGGCACTGTGGTTCAAGTGGTAGAGCGCTAGCCTTGAGCTGAAGAGCTGAGGGATAGTGCCCAGGTCCAGATTTCAGGCCCCACGGCCAAATAAAATATAAATAAATAATAAAATTCAACCTTTTGTAAATGGTGAAACCTCTAAAGAAACTAGGACTAGAACTGTGCCAGGGCTGGGAAGGTGGCTCAGTGGTAGAGCACTTGCCTTGCATGCTCGAGGCCCTGGGTTTGGTTCCTCAGCACCACATAAGAAAAAAGCCGGAAGTGGCGCTGTGGCTCAAGTGGTAGAGCGCTAGCCTTGAGCTGAAGAGCTGAGGGACAGCGCCCAGGCCCAGAGTTCAGGCCCCAAGACCAGATCCAAAAAAAAGAACTGTGCCTGCATTTAATAGTCTTTATGTAGGGCTGGGAAGGTGGCTCAGTGGTAGAGTGCTTGCCTTGCATGCATGAGGCCCTGGGTTCGATTCCTCAGCACCACATAAGCAAAAAGAAAAAAGCTGGAAGTGGCGCTGTGGCTCAAGTGGTAGAGTGCTAGCCTTGAGCTGAGGGACAGCGCCCAGGCCCAGAGTTCAGGCCCCACGACCGGACCCCCCCCAAAAAAATAGTCTTTATATGCTAAATCTATAGTCAACATCATATTGAGTAGAAGAACAAAGTATTTTCTCTAAAGTCAAGAATGAACACAAGCCACGTGCTGGTGGCTCACACCTGTAATTCTAGCTACTTAGGAGGCTGAGATCTGAGGATCGCAGTTCAAAGCCAGCTTGGGCAGGAAAGTCTGTGAAACTCTTATCTCCAATAAACCACCAGAAAACTGGAAGTGGCGCTGTGTCTCAAGTGGCAGAGTGCTAGCCTTGACCTGAGGAGATAATGGACAGTGCTCAGGCCCAGAGTTCAAGCCCCATGATTGAAAAAAAAAAAAAAAAGAATGAATAAAAAAACACCTGCCCTACTTTTATGCAATATGATAATAGAAATCCTGCTAAAGCAATTAAGGCAGGAGAAATGAAAGGAATTCAAATTGTCACAATTTGCAGATCATCTGATCCTATATTTAACAGACTCTACAGACTCCACCAAAAAACTCACAGATCTGATAACACTTTCGGAAATATAGCAGGATATAAAATCAACACTCAAAAAATCAATAGTTTTTCTATATTCCAACAATGACTAGTCAAAGAAGTCAGGAAAATAATTCCATTCATAACTGCCTAAAAACAATCGAACACTTGAGTTATTAACTAAGGAAGTAAAGGTCTCTACAATAAAAACTATAAAACCTTGGAAGAAAGAAACTAAAGAAGACACCAGAAGATGGAGATATTCACATGTTCATGGATTTGTAGAATCAATATATCTAGACTACCAAAAGCAATCTATAGATTTGATGAAATACTCAAAGTCCTGTTATTCTTGATAGGAATAGAAAAATCAATCAAAAAATTTCATAATGAACCAAGTGTCAGTAGCTCACACCTGTAATCGTAGGTACTCAGGAGGCTAGATCTGAGGATCAAGGTTTGAAGCCATCCTAGGCAGGAAAATCTGTGAGACTCTATCTCCAATTAACCACCAGAAAACTAGAAGTGGAGCTGTGGCTCAAAGTAGTAGAGTGCTAGCCTTGAGCTCAAAGGACAGCACCCAGTCCCTGAGTTCAAGTCCAACCACTGACCAATAGAAAATTCATAAAAGATCCTGAATGGCAAGATCAATTCTGAATAAAAAGAGTAACACTGAATATATCACAATACCAGACTTCAAATTATTCCTGAACTCTCTGGGCTAGTAAGTGGTTGTCCTTAAATTCAAGATCATCCTGCCAAAATTATACTTTCAGGGATCATTTCTATAGTTTGTTACTAGAGAAATCTCACTGATTGTGTAGAGTGCCGCATGGTTTCCCTTATTTGTACCAACTAGTACATGTGTAGGACAAGCAGAAAAGGCCAAAAGCTATGTACAGATGACCATATAAGATGATGTTAAGCAAAATGAACCCCAAGATAGTGACACAAATATCTTTTTTCTTTCTTGCTATTGTTTCTAACGTATTTATAATCTACCATGTGGTTTTTTTTTTGTTGTTGTTGTTGCTTTGTATGTTCCTCCCCCATGGTATAACCCCTGCTTTTACTGTATTTGATGTTGGTGCCCTGCATCTTATATATACATTTCTCTAATTCGGGGAGGAGAAGGGAAAAAACCAAAATGCTTAAATAAGGATACAGGTTGACTTTTTGTAATAATGAAATGTACAAAACACTATGTTGAAAACGAACTTTACAACTTCGGTGGTGGGGGGTGGGGGGAGGGTAGTTGTGGAGGTGGGAGGGAAGGGATGGTAGGGGAAAACAAAGGAGGAGGCAACAATGCTCAGTTGGAAATGTACTCATTACCTTGCTCATGTAACTGTAACCCCTCTGTACTCATTACCTTGCTCATGTAACTGTAACCGCTCTGTACAGCATTTTTACAATAAAAAATGTACAAAAAAAGATCATCCCACCTTAGTCTCCTGATATATATCATCCCATAGATAGACAGACAGACAGACAGACAGATAGAGATACTGATGTGATTCTAACTATGGGACTATGTAGGGGGAGAAGGAAAAGGAGAGAGGGAAAAAAGAAATATGGAGCGAGAATAACTTTGAAATATAGTGCATGGGCTGGGAAGGTGGCTCAGTGGTAGAGTTCTTGCCTACCATGATGAAGTCCTGGGTTCAATTCCTCAGTACCACATAAACAGAAAAAGCAGAAGTGGTGCTGTGGTTCTAGCAGTAGAGTGCTATCTTGTGCCAAAAACAAACAACAACAACTTAGGGACGGTGCCTAGGTCCTGTGTCCAAGCCCCAGGACTGACAAAAAAAAAAAAAAGAAAGAAAAAAGAAATATAGTGCAACGATGTATGAAGATGGCATAAAGAAACACAGTGGGAAACTCAATGGAAGCTGTTGATCAATAGGGGATTGAAGGGAAGGGAAGGGGAAGGGGAAGCAATAGAGGGGTGTTCTAAGCAAAACATGTACATGCACATCTGAAACACAGTGAAATCTCTTTGTCCAATTAACACACACTAAAAAAGAAAAGAATGAAGCCTGGTTCTGGTGGCTCACGCCTGTAATCCTAGCTACTCAGGAGGCTGAGATTCAGTTCAAAGCCAGCCCTGGGCAGGAAAGACCGTGAGACTCTTATCTCCAATAAACCACCAGAAAACCAGAAGTGGCACTGTAGCTCAAGTGGTAGAGCACTCACCTTGAGCTGAAGAGCTGAGGGACAGCGCCCAGGCCCAGAGTTCAAGTCCCACAACCAACAACAACAAAAAAGGAAGAAAAAGAGAAAAGAAAAGAATGAGCCCAGTGGCTCACACCTATAATCCTAGCTACTCAGGAGTCTCTGAGGACTGAGGATCGAAGCCAACCCAGACAGGAAAGTCTGTGAGACTCCTATCTCCAAGTAAATCACAGAAAAGGCCAAAAGTGGCCTTTTACTCAAAGGGTTTGTTTTTTGTTTATTTTAGCAAAAGGAACTCAAGGACAGCACCCAGGCCCAGAGTTCAAGCCTCAGGACGGGCAGAGAGGAGGGTGGGGGAAGAGAAGGAGGAGGAGAAGGAGAAGGAGAAGGAGGAGAAGGAGAAGGAGAAGGAGGAGAAGGAGAAGGAGAAGGAGAAGGAGGAGAGACATGAGAGTAAAACTGGCTCAGCTGGGAGGGCCGGTCCTGGAGCAGGGAGGACTGAAGAAGAGGGTAAGTGGGAATGAATATGGCTGAGGTAGTTTATTTTCATGTCTGAAACTGAACAAGGAAATCTGTTGAAACTGTGAACAGACTCAAAGGCCTGGCCCACTGTATTCATCTCGGCCTCACTGGGGGATGCTCTCTTATTCTGTCTTCAGCTGTCCTCTGGCCATTCAGTGTTTCATGCTCCCTGCCTTTGCCCCCATGCTGTTCTGGTCATCTGCCATGGCCTTCGCTTCCATTCCCTCAGTTGGCTTTATCTTCCTCTGAGACTCAGTTTAACCTCAGGCTTTGTTGCTGTTCTTTCCAGACACCCACTGTGCTCTCTGTACCCATGCCTGCCACACTGCTCCAAACCCCAGGTCCCATGTCAGTCTCCTCTGCTGACTACAGGCTACCAGAGGACACCAACGAGGATGCAGTCTTCACTGGGAATGTCCCCAGTGCCTGCACCTGGCAGACCCTCCATAACTACCAGTTAAATGTAAAAAAACCCTGCCAACCCAAGTCAGGTGTGGGTGCCCCATACCTGTGAGCTTAGCTATTCTGGAGGCTGAGATCTGAGGATTGTGGTACAAAGGCAGCCTGGGTGGGAAAATCTGTGAGACTCTTCTCTCTAATTAAACACCAAAAAGCTGGAAGTATTGCTGTGGCTCAAGTGGTAGGAGCACTCATTTTGTGCAGAAAAAAAGCTAAGGGTCAGTACCCGGGTCCTGAGTACAAAAAAAGCAAGCAAGCAAACAAGCAAACCAAAAACAACACCTAACTCTGCCAGCCCTACTTATGCTGGTCTCTCCTTCCATCCACTGCTGCCAGGGGCTGGCATTCTCACCCTAAGGGGGGCATGCAGTCCCCCAGGTCCCCAGCCCTCCCCAGGTCACTCACAGGTGTGGAAGGGTGTCCTGTCAGGCAGGGAGCGGGTTTTCCTCCGGATGGGCAATGACTTCTCCATCTCTTCTTTTAAGATCATCTTTCCCAAGTTGGAAGTAACCTGAGATAGGAGAAAGGAGGATAAGGCCAAAGCCTAGGTACTGGAATGTCAGCTACAAACTGCCCAGCGTTGCTAGACTGCAGGACTAGAGATGGTGCTTCCAGGTGGATTCCCAAGCCCTGGGGCCCATGGAGCTCCTCAGCTTTACTGTAGAACCCTGCACCACGTCACCAGCTATGGCCTTCCCACGCTTCCCAACCTCTCTCCCCTCCCCTGGACCAGTAACCCACACTCCCCTTCTTCCAAGACCTGGCCCACCCTTCCCTGGGCTTTAAATCCTAATATCAAGTGGTGTCTCTGTCAAAGCAGCCCAGAAGCCAAGTGGCCCTTGGAAAGCAGTCTCTCAGATTCCTGAGGGAGGAGAGGAAATTCTTCCCTGTTCTGATTCAGATTTTTTTTTTTGACATGCACAGTTTAGACTAGCCACAGGACTAGAACATTAGTCCCCAAAGATACCAGGCTGGGGTTCTGAGATGCTACCTTACTGAGTTCCTCCTTCTGACGCTCCCTGATCGCCTTAATCTCCTCTTCTGAGTCATCATCTTCTTCCTCCTCCTCTTCTTCTGCCCCCTTGCGAGATGCTTTCCGCTTCCTCCATTCGGTCTCTAGGAGACATAGGCAAGAGAGGCAGCTCAGTCAATCATCGCTCTTTGCAGGTGCGGGGCTCAACCTCAAGCACAACCCTATTTCTTTTTATTTTCAATTTCAAACATTGTTTTGGAGATGAGGTTTCGCTGTCTCTCTTCACTGTCCCTGGGAGCTCTGCTGGGCAATCCTGTTATCACGGAGTCTAAACAGATCTGTTGCAAAGGCCAACTTGCACCTCCTGGACTGGTGATCCTCGTGCCTCAGCCTCCCATGTATCTGGGACTTCAGGGGGGAACCACTATGCCCAGCAGAACGAATTATTAAAAAAAAACACACAACAAAAACCTGCTTGTGGTTCATGCCTATAATCCTAGCTATTAAATAGGCTGTGGTGAGACTGTGTGTGTGTGTGTGTTGGTAACTAGGGCTTGACCTCAGGGTCTGGACACTGTCTATTAGCTTTTTCTGCTCAAGGCTGGAGCTCTAGCTCTACCATTTGACTCACAGCTTCACTTCCAGATTTTCAATGGAGGTAAGAGTCTCACAAACCACTGTTCACAAAGAAATGTACTCAATACCTGACTTATGTAACTTTAACCCCTCTGTACATCACCTTTACAATAAACATTAAAACATTTTTTTTTGTTGGTCATGGGGCCTGAACTCTGGGCCTGGGCGCTGTCCCTCAGCTCTTCAGCTGTAGACTAACGCTCTACTACTTGAGCCTCAGCCCCACTTCTGGCTTTCTCTGCTTTTGTGGTGCTGAGGAATCGAACCCAGGGCCTCATGCATGTAAGGCAAGCACTCTACCACTGAGCCACCTTCCCAGCCCCTAAACATTAAAACTTATTTTTTACAAAGAGTCTCACAAACTTTCCTGCCTGGACTAGCTTCAAACTGTGAGCCTCAGATTTCAGCCTGCTGAGTAGTTAGGGTTACAGGTTTGAGCCACTGGTGCCTTGCTCCAAGAGACTCTTATCTGAAGTTAACTAGCAAAAAGCTAAAAATGGAGGTATGGCTCAAGTGATAGAGTGCCAGCCCTAAGCAAAAGAGCCAAACACACCAGGCTCTGAGTTCAAGTCCTAGAACTGGTAAACAAACAAACGAATGAATCAATAAAGTAGGGGTTTGGGAGTGAAGCGCAGTGGCAGATTGTATCCTTGGCACATGTGAGTCCCTGGGTTCAATTCTTGGCACCAATAATTGATTAATTCATAAGAGTAACATTTCCTCGCCTTCCTATGAAGCCGGTAGGAAACATATACACGTGACTTAAATTCACTGGGGACTGAGACCTTCTCTTATTTATTTTCCTCTGGAGATCTGAGAAATGTCTGCTGACCAGATCCATGAACAAGGCAAGGAGTAACTGGCAGGCAGGCCTCCAGAGCCTCATGGCAGGAGGTAGAGCAACAAGCCTGGGTGCTGATGAAGGTAAAAACAACAACAACAACAACAACAAACCCTAAGAGGAACCCTGGGCTGTGGAGTGGGGTGGAGAAGGAGTAGTGGGGAGGGGGCCCTTGCCTCCCCCTCCCCAGTTTCCCTACCCACTACAGCCAGCGAAGGGGGACATGGCCAGTAGTCGGTTTCGATCTTGGCCGGCTGGTTGGGATCCGGGGGCTGTGCTGCGGGGAACTTGGACGACTCGATGATGAGGTCCTCGATGAGGTGCTTGCTCTGCGGGCTGCCTCCCATGGACTCTGAAGACAGAGGTGAGAGTCAGTCCTCACACAGCCCCCCCCATGCCTCGGGCTAACCTGGACCCCCCAGGGTCCCCAGCTCTATCACTGGTCCCCTCGCGCCTGTGAAATCACAGATATAAAAAGCAACACGCAGCAAAGAGCACAGGGCCAACATTCCGAGCTGTCACACACAGGTATCCACCTAGCTCCCTGCCAGGCAGCCCCGCAGGCAGGTAGAAGACAGGAGCCCTGGGAAGCTGGCGGAGCCCTTACCTCTCTGCTTATAGATGGGAGGCTTCTTGTAGATGTTGGAGTCTGGGCGGGTAGTCTCTGGGAGGGGAAATAAAGGCAGATGAGAAGGAGCATATGCTGATGGCAGGGGATGCTGGGTAGAGAAGAAAATGGGCCAGGTGGGGTGGGTCAAGAGCCAAGACAGAACTGGAGGTCCTGGCACTGTGCTTAGAGTACTGGGGAAGACGGTGACGGGCACACTGGCACTGGGGTCCTGGCATTCTGGAGTGCAATGGTGAGCTGGTCCCTCAGAGAATGGGAGAGATGGAGAGTAAGAGAATCGGGGTGCTGAGGAGATGTGAAGTCACAGGAACTAGGTGGAGTCAGGCCAACAACCAAACCTACCGGGATGGTGGAAATGGGGCAGGCTGGTCCTGGGGGTTCCTGTGGTTCTTGGGGTTGACACCTGAGAGATGATTCCAGGGGTCCGGCTGTCCGCCCACACCTGCAGAGCAGAAGCATGTTTCTCCTCCGTCCCCTGCCCCCACACCTCCGAACAGCCCACATGCACACTCTTCACTCCTACCATCCGAGCGCTCCCACCTTACGCCAACACCCCTGAGCCCAGGGCAAAGACTCCCAAGGCCTCAGCCCGCTCACGGCCTGTGCAGGGACAAAGGCTTAAGCAAGGCCCCGAATCAGACAGAGCCGGCCAGTGACGGGGCAGGATCTGCTTATTCTGCTGTGCTCTGGGCTCTGCAGAGCCCTTTGTGGACATAGGGAGATCTGGGACCCCATCCCTACAGGGTTGAGGAAGTCTCAGTGTAGGGGCACACTCACCTCTGGGGAGGGTGGGGGGGATGTGGATTTGGGGGACAGTGAGCGCTGTGAATGGAGAGGAGAGTGGTCAGTCACAGGATTAAACCCCACCCCAAGTCCACACACCTCCCTAGCCACCCTTCTCTCTCAGGGCCTTGCCAATTCTCAGCCCAGCCTTCTGTCCTTCCTATCCCCAGCATGCTCCTGACAAGATCCTGACTCTTTCTGTATGGAGCATAAAGAAGCATAGGATCTTGGGGGCAGTGTGCCCAGCGCACTGAGGGCCAGCCATGACCCTGTGCCCAGAGCCTGACAATGAAGCTCAGGAACAAGACCACAAGCAGCCAGGGATAAAGCATAGACTCCAATCTAGGTACCTACCGCTCCGCAGTCAGGCTGCACCCCACCTCTTACGTCAATACCCGCTCAGACACTGCACCATGTACTCTGACAATTTATGGGAGTGAATGGATAGGAGGGGAAACTGAGGCAACCACACACCAGCACTTTAAGTTCAGCATTTCTGAGATCTCTCTGCACACTCCATTCTTTTCCTACAGGGGAACCCCTCCCCCCCCACTTCATGCTGTTGCTATTGAACTATGGCTGCCCTTGCTTTCTACTTCTCAGCCATACCCCAGCCTCGAGTCTTGCTGTCCACTCCCCCCTCTCTCTCTCCCACATGGAGTTGATTGCACCTCCAGGGAGACTAACCCAGAGAGAGTCCATTCACCAGCCTCCCCCAGGCCCAACCCTCACTCCTGGAACTGGAAATACCCCCACCTCCCGGCTCCTGGGCAGCTCCACGTGTTCAAGAAGGGAGTAGGTGAAGTGGGGCTCGTAGATCATGAGGTCGGGCCGCTCGATGTCCAGAATGGCCTTGTCTTTGGGGATGGCAGCCAAGTCCTTGTAGCCCAGCACCTGGTTGTCCATCTTGGCCTAAGGGAAAATGGGCACAGATGGAACAGGTCCTGGGAAGGCCTCGCTTGGCACACTGGCCTCACCGGTTGAAACTTACTTTCTTACCAAGAAAGCAGTCATTCTAGGCGTTCACAAGTTACTAACTCCAGCTGTGTTCAGCCTAAACATTTAGGGTGTCACCTGAGAAATGACAGTCCTTTGCCTGGCACTTCGTGTACAGCCAGACATGACAGCGAAGGGGGCGGCGGGAAGCTTGGAGGGACCTCCAGCTTCTGCCCACCTGCCAGGATCACCATAGGAGCGTGGGGGTGCTCTGGCGGGGGTGAGGGGGGAGCTGGGGTCCGGGCCCTCCCTCCGCCCCAAATGAGGAGTGGGTGGCCTACCGGGGTACTCACCACGATGCTGGAGGGAGAGCCGGGCACACTGGAGTCTCGGGAGGAGCTGACGCTCCCGGGGGAGGTAAGAGGTTGCTGGGGAGAGCGAGAAGGGGGGCCGGGTGGGCGTGTGCGTGGCTGCGAGGGCGGGGAGGGAGGCGGGGGTCTGCCCTAGGCGGGGGAGGGCCCGGTGCGGTGCGCGGCCGAGGCCACCAGGTGGCGCCGTCGCACT